AGCACCAGACTCATTGTCCGACAGCTGTAAAACCCGCAGAGCCTCAATTTGTGAGGAAGAATTCCTTGTCCAGAGGGAGAGAGACAGCTGCTCTCTTTGTTGCAAACTTGCAGTGTTTATGATTACTTAGCGGGGAGACTCAGAATTGCTGGTGGACGCGTTTTGCCTGTCATCCGCTGTCTTGTTAATGTCAGGAGCAGCCTGGGATAAATCTGAGTCGCTACAGCATAGAGAGGAAAAAATCACTACGAAAAAAAATACAGCTGGAAAAAAAAAAAAAAAAAAGAAAGAAAGTTGCTGGCAAAACACGCTGTGAAATCCTGATGGGCTGCTGTCTGAGTGCTCACTTCAGCTTGTCTCTTCTTGTTAGCAGAGAGGTTGGGGCACAGCCTGAGCCCTATGGAGCTGGTGGGAGGTTTGCTGTTGACCTGATGCTCATTGTGCTTAAATGCTCAGAAGGATGTCAGAACTTAGAGCTCAGATGGAAGAGAACTTCGCACGCCTCCCCTGGAAGAGAGGGCGGCTGAGGCACAACGATCCCCATTAACAAAGCTCAGCTCCTCACGCTTTGTAAAGGCTAATCCTTCAAGATGAAGGGCACATCTATCATAGCAAAGCGCTCTTCAGAGCAGCACCAGTCAGCACTGGAAGCTGCACCTTGAAAGCAGCGGGGGGGATGCAGTGTGAGATGCTCAGGGACAGCCCTGGTGTGATGCTCACCCAGATGTTCCCTCCCCATGGCAGCCGCTGGGACCTCCAAGAGCTCAGCTGCTGCTCTTACAAATCCAAAATCCTTTGGGAAATCTGCTTGAGAGAAAAAAAAGAAGGAATGATATCAGTGCCGGGGTGGAAATTGAGGGCAGGTCCCTGGCAAATTCACTCTGAATTGTAGGGATGCTGAGGCCTCGCTGTGATTATTTCTTTTCTCCAGCATCCTCAGACCCAGGTCTGATCACTGTGAGCACAGACACGGAGTGCTGCCTTTCCCATTGCTGCTGCTAACACAATGGGGTTCTGTTCTCTATGCACCCCAACACCCTGCGCTGCTTTCTAAAGCGGGGAGAAAAGCTTAGGGCTCAAATATAAAGTCATTGAGTTGGGTGCCTAATTCCTTTCAATCTTCTTTTTATTCCCTAGCCTCAGGGCTCTGAGGAAGCGGCTGGTTTGATTTGATGAAGAAAAGAGCTGTTCCATTAACAGGTCTGATGTCTGAGAGGGTTCTTTCAGCTGGGGATGGATCTCAGCACCCTTTACCAGGCCACACTTGCTGCTAGATCATATTTTCTCTTCAATGACATTACATTTTAAACGGGCTTTCACTGTAATAACATTTGCAGTAATGAAATCACTCTGCTGCACGGTCTTCTTTTAACAGCACAAATACCTGAGTTGGCTACAAAGGGAGATTTAAATGTCACAGAGGATGTGCTGGA